TAAAGTATTCTTGCACCTTGTGGCTTATGTAACACAGCAATACAAGATAGTCCAAAAGTTTCTGCTAAAAAGACAATTGTCCTTGGTTTAAACAGCAAAAGACGTCGAGTCTTTGACGGTTTCTATAAACTGAAAGGCGAGAATCGACTGAGAGGCCTTCGGGAACTCTAGGGGAGCTGCAGTGCTCTGCAGCTCAGGTGAGATAATCTGCTGAGAAGACAATAAATTAGCTGCTGGCATTCCAGCAAAAATATGGCTTTGTGGCAATGACAAAGGTACTGTTCAAAGAAAGCCTCAAGACGTTCGCCACAAGCCGCGGTGGAGACACAACAAACGTGGAAGAATGTGCCACAGTCAGATCAGACCCAAATTTGAACTGTTTGGCCTAAATGCGAAACGCTAAGTGTGGCAGAAAGCTAACACTGCACATCAATCCGAAGGAACCGCAGCGGTGGTGAAACCCGGCGGTTACAGCAGCATCATCCCGTGGGGTCGTTTTTTTTTGTTTTTTTTTCTCCTCAGGGGACGGGGGAGCTGGTCAGAGTAGATGGGAAGATAGATGGAGGTAAATACAGGGCAGACCAGGAAGAAAACCACTTCACATTCAGTCCCAAGTGCTACTTTGCGTTGGTTTATCGCGTAAAATTCCAGCAAAACACATTGAAATTTGTGGCGGCAATCCGAGAAAACGTGAAGGAGTTCATGGGGTGTGATTACTTTTACAAGCCGCTGTGTATGCTGTTCCTTCCGTCACGTTCCTCAAAAGACAAATAATAATTTGGATGTGAAGCGGCGCTTTGGAAGCAAAGTTATGTTGCTTCAAGAGGCGCCTTGCCTCCTCCTCTCCTCTTTCACCCCAGTGCTGGAGATCTGTTAGTCAGGGGCCGGGGAGTTTTCAGTCTCCAGGGGCAGATCCCTCTGAACCGCCTGCCAAGCTTCTCCCCGCCATCCCTCCATCCTCTTTTTTTTTTTTGACTCCCCTCCTTTTTACTTCTTTCCCACTTCTCCTACCCCTCACGTTGAACTTTCTCCTCCTCCTCGACCTCTTATCAACCTCTAGCTTTTTTTTTTCTTTTTTCCACTTTCACCCCAGAACATTTCTCTTCACTCTCACCCTTATATCTGCTTTTCCCTTTTCCTTCTCCTCTCTTCCCCTCCCGCTCCCCCCTTTTCCCGACGCAGCGATCCGGCTCCTTTGCAGCCGTGCATAATTAGGCCTAAACACAAGCCTGCGCAGGCTCACATCTGGAAGAAGTTTGGACATGGCAGTTTCCTACCAAGTCGACTAAATATTTAGGTTGAGAGTTACTGCATGTGGATGAACTCATGATAGAAGGGGTGGGAAAAGTAGAGAAGCTGGGGAGCTGCAGATAAAGGAAAATTGGAGACAGTTGGAGCTCATGAGGAAATGTAGAGGTGACGTTCTGTATTCTCAAAGAGGAATATGTATTACTTTGCAAAACAACAACATAAAAAAAAAAACAAGAAGCAGTATTATTAAAAGTGCAGTTCAGGCTCTGTAAAGTAGGAGGTGATAAAACTGGGTTGCTCCTTTTTGGCTGGCAGGAACAACAAACAGCTAGCTAATAGTTTTAATAAACAAATCCCCTCTGGGATTTCCCATGATGCTGAGGGGCCTCAGCTGGAATGTTCACAGGGGCCAGCTGTTGTGCATTACACGAAGCAGCCGGCCCCGGAAGCCAAGGACCGGGTGTCCTTCGGTCCTCGCCTGCTCCACTTGGAAAGAGAGCGTATCTCCAGGAGAGGGAGAGAGGGGCGTTCGTCGAACCGGGGCAGCGGAGAGCGCTCCCCCGCCGCACCTGGGATACTGTCTGGAGGCTCTGAGCAGCCTGAGGAATGTCAGGAATAACACGAACATCAACAAGAGTTCCCAACATTCCACATCTGGAGCTAATGTCTGAATGCATCGGGAAAAACAAAAACTTTCCAGACGCCGCAATTCTCGGGCAAGGTAACAAAAATGGCGCCCCGGATTGTTTGCGCCTTGTAAACGTGCCACAGAGCGCCAAGTGGCCGCACAAAAACAACCCGAGCAAAATTAGTAGGTGCGGGAACAGAAGATTATCTTCAATCACCTCCACCACTGCCAGCCGAGCCATTTCGGCCTCCACTTTTCAGCAAATGTGTTTTACAGATGTTTGTCTTGCCTTTATTAAGCAAAAACACAAGGCCCTATAAATGACCTGGTGGCTGGCTCATCGTCTTCATTCTTTACCTCATATGCTTGCTGCAGTGAGATATAATTAACTCTCTCGTGGATTTCTATTGCGTTTTTTTTTTTTTGTCTTTTTCTATTTTTTCACAGAGGAATGCTTCTGACTATCACACCAATGTTCATATCAAAGATAAAACGAATGTCAAAACACGCAAGATCTCAAATACTAAGGTAAACAGTGTAATTGTCTGACAGCATGAAGTAGGCTACAAGATCCCAAATAAGAAAAAAAATAATAATTTTTGCTCAGAGAAAAAAGAAAAATCAAACGAATGTGACATACGGTTGTTAATATTAATCGGTTTAGAAAGAGTTAAGCAGTTACTTCTAAGACTTTGGGGATGCTAGTGAACCACAGCGAGAGCCTTTACATACACCTGGGAGCAGGTGGTGAATGTTCCCAGGAGGTAATGGCTCACTAAAATTATTCCAAGAACAACGTCTTAAGGAACAAAGGCATTACTTGCCTCATGTGGTCAATGTGCCTCACTCAACAATAAAAAAACAAAACAAAGAACAAGCAGAAATTGCATCCATGGGACTTTCGACGCTGAAACTATTGGTAACCAAAAACAACGCAAAGGTGCGTCTCACCTTTGCCACAAAAAAATAAATAAATAAAAATCTTGTTGAAATTTTTTATGGATTGACTAAGCAGAAGATGGTCTTTCAGAATAAAACAAAGACATGTTACCAACATTGAGACGTGGTGACGGCGAGGCAGAAAGCGCAAATAATGTGGGAATGAGCTACATGTGAACTAGCTGATTCTGGGCTGCTCTATCTGGCTAGTTCACAGGGTGAAAAAGGGTGGGACATCTGGATGGAGGTCGTTAGAAACCAGGCTAGTCTTTCTCGCACCCAGAAAGACCATGTGAAGAAACCCTGAGCAGCTGTGAAGAAAGTTCTGCATTGCAACGGACCAAAACACCACAACCCCCCCCATCCCCCCGAAAAATGTGTCACGAACAGATCAGCAATCTATCAAGAATGATTGTGTGTTTTGGCCCGTGTTGAGGCGCTTTCAAGTTTGCTCCAAAAAAGACCACACAATGAAGCGCCTCGTAATTAAAAATATCGAACTTAAAACCAGCGCCGTTCCCGCTCTCAGAAGGAGACGGAGAGGCAGGGTGTGTTGCTGCCTTTTGACGTGAGAGCCGGGTCACCGGTTCAAGCGCAGACTCTGATATAAAACACTCTGAATGTGTTTCTGTTTATTCATGTGCTTTTTTGTTGTTTTTTTTTGCAATGAAGAGTCAGCTGGACCGTGTTGTGGAGGTGGAGGGCTGCAAAGCGGAGGGGCCTTGGCTGAGGCAAATTTAAAGTGACAGAGTTGTGTCAAAGAGGCTGGACTCCATGATGATCACAGAGCTTCTTAGTGCTTCACAGAGACGCTTCCCTTCACTTCGACGTGAGAGTGGATCAAGATGGAGACGTCTGACCTTACAAGTTCAACAACAGCTACGGGGTTCACAGTGCAGTGCAAACTAACAACATGGAGGTGATACAAGTGCAGCGCCTTGCAAAAGTATTCGTACCTCTTGAACGTTTTATTTTTTTTTTTCGTCAGCATATTTCATTGGCATTGTATGTAGAGTGACGCAAAGAAACACTTGATTGTGAAGTAAAAGGAATATATTCTCTAAGAATTTTCACAAAGTCACCACTGGCTTTAGGCCTGAACATTGGATGGATCGTATTTGATGTAAATACTTCCATCGTAGCTCTGATTGTACGTTTTCATGGCTTGTTGGAGGTGAATCTCTACCCGAGTTTCAAGTTTTTCTTGGATCCTCCAAAATATTTCCTCCCAGGAATGCCCTGTATTTATTGTTGTTTGTTTATTTGAGGAAGAAAAAAAAGACAATGCATATCATATGATCTGCCCTAGTTAGCCATAAAGGCTAGTTTTCACATGTAGCCCCTAAAGTAGCATGCAGCACCCTCTAGCTTAAGGTAACCGGCAAAACCTTTGAGCAGCTTTCCTGTCCCTGCTAAGCAAAAGCATGATGCTGCCACCACCATGTTTCACAGTGTTGGAGGGTGTGTTCAGGCTGATTAGCAGTGCCAGTTTTCTGCTACTCAAAGTGTTTTGCATGCAGGTCAAGTTACATTTGACTCTCATCTGGACCCTCTGCTATGTTTCCTATATGTGCCCTACGTGGCTTGTAGCAAACTGTCTTTCAACAATGGCTTCCTTCTGCTTACATTGAGGTCCAACTTTTAGAGTGCATGACCTGTCAACTGATTTTTCCCCCCACCTGAGTTGTGACTCTCTGCAGCCCTCCCAGAGCCACCTTCTCTGATTAATGCTCTCCTTGTCCTGCCTGCCAGTTCTGACGGGCAACCATGTTCTGGTAGTTTTACGGTTTTGCCCTTTCCTTCACATTAATCAGATGATGGATTGAGCCATATTGCTCTAGAGAGAAATTTACTGGCCTGCAGCTTCTGAATGTTGCACTGAGTTGGTTTTGAGGGTATCTGAGTAAAGGGGGGTTCATATAAATGTATGTCCCATATTTTTTGTGGGTTTTAACACACACACACAAAAAAAGAAAGAAACGGATCAATTTTGCGGACAAATAATAATTTTGAAAAGGAACTGTAAGTCTGCGTATGGGAACTTTTAAGTAAATAGTGCTAATCCTTGAAAACGCAGTTTTCGTGGAGACAGTGCTCGACACGCTTTGCTCAAGCAGTCTGAAAGGAAAGGAAGGGACCTGGATGCACACGAGTGTGTTCAGAAGTTGATGTTTCTACTTACAGAGTGACGGTCCTGTTGGGGAACAAACTGAAGTCCGGAAGTTCAACCAGCTCCTCCTTGCTGCAGCTCACCCTCCTGCCCACAGATTGAGCGCCGTGCGCCTTGGGGCGATCCTCCGCGCAGCTGCAGCCGCTGGTGGAGGCGAGCGGCCCGGGGCAAACCTGGACGAGTCCCGCTCCGGAGGCGGACAGCAGGAGCAGCATCAGTACCAGACGCCCCGGCAGCAGAGGGATGCCAGCTGCGGGCGCAACCATTGTCCTTCGCCTGGATCTCACCTCAGCTGCACCCCCGCCTCCAGTCATCCCATATCTCCACCATGAAGGTCTCGGTTGGAGTTTATGAAAAGGAAGAATGAAGAGGCACGCCGAGCTCACGGGAGTTAGATAAATGAATGACGGGTGAAAGTCTTTCGCTCAACAGTGAACTCCCATCTCATCCGGTCATTCCAGAAATATCAGAGGCGCTGATTTCCCAAATGTCCCGTTATGTCATGGCAGCAGCCTGGGCGCACGGCTCCCCTTTGCTCCAAAAAGGTCGTTAAATCCAAAGGACGAGAGTCCATCCGGTGGTTTACAGCAGTTATGCCAGCGATGGCTTTCTGGGTCCTGGAAAACGTGGTTGTGACTAACCCAAAAAATAGATTTACTCTTTTTTTTTTTTTTTTCAGGATTCACGGGAGTGTCCAAATTACCGTTATCTTGCCCTCTGAAAGTCAATCCACGCGCTGCTGAGATTTACCGCAGAACTCACGCACATTCATTCCGAGTCGCGACTATTTCTAAAGAAGAGATGAATAAATTAACTTTACTGTCTTGTTCCGATGATTCTTTTCGAAGTTTTCCTCGGCTTTTTCCTCGATTCCCGGGAGGTCCCCGCACTCTCACGCACAGAATTTAGACTGGATTTAAACGGGAGGGGGGGGGGAGTGGGGTCGGGGGGCGGAATGAAGTCGGACAAGAAAGGAGTTTGTTCCTCATCTGCTCCCGTCTGGTTCCCCAAAATAAAGCGGGGTTTTGTCTGTACGCCTCTGTCAGTCTCAAAACTCACTCAGTTGAGGGTATACTACCCAAAGTGCGCCCATTCCTTCCCCGTCTGCGCTCTAGTCCCCGCGGTCCTAGCGCATGCGGATCAGGGTAATCCCAGCAGAAATCACAGTCCCAGACCCGACCCAACACTGAACGGGGCCTTGATTGGATGATTATTTTAGGGGATTACTTCCTATAACACCTCAGACATTTTTTTTTTAAATTATTATGTGTTTTTGCGCTCCACACTAATTACATGAAGGTGTTCTGTGCTCTGCCTCCCCCACAGTTACAGTACATGATATGGCTGCTTGAAAAACAAACAGTTCAATAATTTGAACTCGTATTACAGAAATATGCTACCACAATCTATTACGGTTAATTTACGGAGTTACGGGTAATGAAAGCCCAAAACATATTTTCAGAGAATTACAATATCGATAAGAGAAAATCCTTTCTAATTCAAAATTATTATGTCGTGTTATGTTACAGGCTTCGAATGGTCCTGCCTAATCCCAAAGAAAAGTACCGACTGAACGGTCCAGAAGACACTGACACCCTCACAAAGGTTACTTCCCAAAGAAGCTGACCGTTCGCAGAGAGCCACATCCGAGCGGAAAGTTGTGTGGATGGACAAACATTTGGTAGGAAATGTCAGGTGTAACCGTAGCCTTGAAAGGAGTTTTGAAGCAAAGATCGTGTAAGCGTTTGAGGAGATACAGAAGGTGGACTGCAGCTGCAGTCTTCAGGAGCTGAACGCACCAACGCATCTATGACATGGGCTTCAGTTTTTAGGTTTTTTTTTTTTTTTTGCTTTTATGGTCCTCGGTCATTCCTGAATCAAAAGTCTCATCAAGGATGACCTATAAGATGAAAGTAAATTTCACATTTTATTTCCAAATCAAAATTCCAGAGTCTGGAGGCAGACTGGAGAGGAACGGAGTTTACGTTAATTGAGCTGCACGGTGAAGTTTCCACGGGCAGCGACGACTTGGGGTGACATGTCATTTACTGCTGCTGGTCCACTTTATCAAGTCCAAACTCAGTGCAGTCACAGCATTTCAGACCGTTTCCTCCTTATGCCAAGAGTCTTTTTGGAGATGCTGATTTTGTTTTCCTTCAAGAGTTGGCACCTGTCCATGCTGCCAGGAGTGGCGGGCGAAGAGGAATACGAGATTTAGCAGACGTGAGTTGCAGGCTGTTATCAAAGCAAGCTGGGATTTTTTTTAACACCTCAGTAAAACCACAGGCTGACCTCCTGGTGTACAAGCAACCATGGTAACGTCCTGAGTAAATGTCACTATATGCTCTCGGCCAGGTAGAACTTTATGAATAGTCAGATTTTCTTTGAAGGTACCAGAAATAATAAAGTTACCAGAAATAAGAGTAAAATTGTATCACATAGTGTGTTTTTAGTTTATAGTATAGGTAGCATATTTAACTTTTACTGAATAATTGACAGGTATTGTCTTAAGGATAAGCAAATATATTTAGCCTTTAATAACTATATCATAAATAAAATAAACTACCTAATAGGCAGGATGAAGAAAACTGTTTGAGTGTCTCATCAGTTTTTTTTTTTTTTTTTTTTTTTATTTTGAGAAAACTAAAGTATAAATAACTTTACAGTCAAACCATGATGTCATGCAGGGAAACTAATAAAACAACAAGTAGCCTTCGGCAAAAGCAAAATTTCCTCAATAAAGAACAGGGAATACTATTGCTTTGAATTAGCTGCCTCCATCTACAACACAGGAAGGTCTTGCCTTCAATGTGTGTCTGGGCTGGAGGAGCAAAGTGAAGTTATGAATGAATGCTGAAAGCCTCTGGTGTATTGTGTGCCGGAGCAGATCAAAGACTGTCCATTCAATCGGCGGGAACGAGAGGAAGCAAAGACTTTTATAGATAGGCTGCACTTCACTACATTCTATATTGTTCCTGGAAAAAGACTTATGATCAAATAGAGCACTGCAAGCGTGAAAATGAACAAAGACGGAGCGGCAATAATGCTGGTGATAAGTGTTTGTTGGCAAGGCTGTTCATTTTACAGTGTTGGAGCACACAGACAGTAAAACTGTTTTGTTTTCCACAGATCCTCCACTTCTCGGGTCTCCCACTTCTCTCCGAGTTTCTAATGGGGTTTTAGTATAGGGGGCTGAGGAGATTTTTATGGATGAAGATTGAT